TTTTTAGAGAGAGTGGAAGGGAGGGGGAGAGACAGAGGGAGAGAAACATCGATGTGAGAGAGGCACATCAGTTGGTTGCCCCTCACACGTGCCCTGTCTGGGGCTGGGGATCAAGCCTGTAACCAAGGTACCTGCCCTTGACCCGAATTGAACCTGGTTTGTCTGTGGGCTGATGCTTAACCACTGAGCCAAGCTAGTTAGGGCCAAGGTCCACACTTCGGATGACAAGGCTTTAGAGTACCTTAGGTGTTGTTCATGGAAAAAAAGTACAGAGGTCAAGAGTAAGCATTTAGAAACTTTTGTAGCAGTTTAAAAGAGTGATTTTTATATCTGATGAATCTGATGATAAAGAAATTTGGCTTACATTTTGTTTGTTTTCTCTTTATTTTATTTTATTAGTAGTTTTTGTTGTTTTCTAAAAAAATAGTCTGATTGATCACAAATTTAAAAAATCTAGTCGTTCACTAGATAGTTCAAGAAGCCCTAAATTAAAGTACCTCATGGTGAGAGAAGATTGCTTACCTCCTCTTATGTGGAAGCAAGAGCATTTACCTAATGTTCTCAGTTACCCCAGGTGAATTCAGCTTTATAATAGATTTAGTGAACTGAAGAGATGAGTATGACTATAATAGTATTTACAATAATAGTATAGTCAGCCCCTAACTTTATTTAAATTGTCCTTACACTTTATTTTGCAGTGTTTTGCAGTGCTGTAGTGCTGAGCACTGAGCCTCCTGAGGCGCTACACCCATGTGCTTTGAGGATCACCTACGAGGGTTCGCTTCCCCAGTGCATTCATCCTCGGGTGAGTCTGCTGTGATGCTGCAAATTCTAACGCTGAAAAGTGACTGGTGAAATGAACATGCAGCAGGACTCCTTGTGAAACATCATGAAGTGTATATTTTATTGTATCAGCTGAAATAGAAACAATTGATTGCAGATTATACTAGCAGTTCAATATCTAAAAGAAATTCTAGTTTCTGGGCACTTTCTTTTTGGTGGTGGTTGTGTGCTTATATCCTTTGTTCTTTGTTAGCCCTTGACGATATATCTGAGAACTGTGTGGTGGAAGAAGGGTTAAAAGTAAGAACATTGTGTCTGTTAATCTTTAGACTTCCTGAAAATTGGGTCCGAAGAACCACAGGAAAGCAGTGTGAAAACCACCACTTTCACCCTTTAACTCCAGTAGATTTTACATTCATTTCACAAAAGTTCCATCACTAAAAACTAACTTCAGAAGCGTGGTTGGGATGTTCCTTAAGGAGGACAAGTGAGCATTTAATTGTTGGGTGGTGTTTATTAAAGAAAACATCGGGTCCTTGTAAAAGAATCCTTTTCTCTGCCTTTCTTTATTGTTCTCTCTTCTGCTTTGCTCCCTTCTGTCCTTCTGTCCTTCCTCCTATCCTTCTCTCCCCTCTGTTCCACCTTCCCTTGCTTGTAACAAATTATTGAGCACCTGCTATGTGCAAGACATTATACTGGACATGAAAAAGAGAGAAAAGATGTGCTTTGGCACTAAGAATGAGTGAGGCCCCCAGGCCACTGGGGTGGAGGATCTTGAACAAAAGAGATTTGATGAAGTTGATCCTCCAAAGGCCAGGGGAGAACGGTGGTCAGAGGAGAACATTCTGTCCAGAAAGGAGACAGGATCTGAGGACAGGAAGCGGAAGGATGTAAACTTCCCCTTAGGATGTGGGAGCGGCAGGAATGCCTGGCATGTGCGAGGTTAGCACCGGGTTAGTGTTATTTAAAGAAACAGGAGCCTGGTCTCTAATTTAACAGGCGCGGGGGTTGGGGTATAGCAGGTGGGGAACCAAAGGAATTTACTGTGATCTGAAAAAGAAGCCAGAGTGCTGACTCCATTCTGGGGGGCGGGCAAGAACCTTCCCTTTTTCAGTTGAAGATAAGGCTCTTCACTCTGGGCTGGAGTTCCTAAATTCCCCTTCTTCCTTTTCCGGAAAACAAGGTGTATACTTTATGCCAGCCACCAAAAGGCACTGACTGTATTTAACGTGAATTCATGAGCTTATTGTGCTATAAAGGGGTTCCTCGGCTATTTCATATGTATACATGCCCTCTCCCTCAAAATAGTTTGTATTTTTGCAGCCCACGCAGCCCACATTTTGTTCTTCAGAGGAAACATCCAGTGGCTGTGGCTGCATAAGTTCTCATCCCTGTTCTCTGCAACAAGGCCCACCAGGTCTCCAGGCCATCTTGATGTCCCTGCTCTTCTGAGACTGGAGCCTCAGAATAGAGAGCAGGTTGAAAAATCTAAAAAGTCCCTTTTGCTTTGAGAACGATGAAAGTGGGCATTACATTTTATTCATCTCTCCGTGGTACCTCCCGCAATGGCCAGCACATGCCTAATGTACAGATGGATGGGTGGAGGTAATCGGGATGGAGAGGAAAGTCCACAGCACACTACCCAGTGGCTGCAAGATTATTCCTGCAGTGAAGAAACACTTTTTCCTCCTTTTTCCCCCCACAGGACACCTTTCTAAACCTGTCAAAATGGATGAGTGGGACGATAGACTGATGGGTGGGTGGACAAGTGGATGAGGGGAT